CTGACCTTGAGAAGGGACTCTGCAGAATCAAGACATGGGAAGAGTTGAAGATTGGACAGGGTCGTGAAATCACTTTCTATACAATGATCCGTGATTTCTTTTGTTATGTTTGTTCTCAGTTAGAGCCAGTTAAGGTCGGTGCAACGCCTATAATGAATAGGAAATTTGCCATTGACTGAACATCTTCCTTTCCACTTCAAAACTTTCTATATCCAATCGGCCTTTGAAGAGGGCCCGTATGGCCTTCCTACTATCTAAGGAAAGAAGGATAAAGAACCACTTGTGTGGGGAAGGTATACGCGGGAAGAGATCGATCTTGGCTATTGGGACTACTAGCAGGCAAAAAAAAGATGCCATTCGTCCCCAGCCAAAGAAAAGGGTTATAAGAAAGACAAGTATGGATTTCGGCACATGGCCGGGCAGCCTAAGTATAATTGCTAGTTAGACAGCATCACGCGAGCTTCATCATGCAAGCTTTGCTTCTTTCTTCCATACGCCTGCTGCCAAGACCCCCTTCTTCCAGTGGGCAGAAAACTTCATCCCCAGCTACCAACCCTTTTCCGGATCGCCAGACAACTCATATACATGATGAACATTTCCCTGAAATGGAAATGAAAGCATCCAAAATATGAGTAAGAAATCAATTACTGATTTTCCAAGTTGGATCCTTCAACAAGCCGGAGAGAGAGAAATGCCTTGTAACCCACTAGCTCTAATTATTGAACAATTAGAGGGAGATGCTACACCTGCCCTTGTATATGTTCGCACCCCCTATTTGAATAAGGCATCCGAGTCAGACTAGCGTCTCCTTCATTCCCAATATATGCTCCACAATTGCCTGCTTCCTATCTTCCGGAACTTTACCAACAACCATACTTTTTTTGCAATATTTATAGCTTGCCCCGATTCCGACGCCCTCTTGTATTGATAAAGGGGCTTGGAGGAGGTTAAGACAATTTTTCATTTCAAGATAAATAAAAAAGTCCAAGAAAGCTTTTGTAATGCAAGCAAAACTCTTCCCCGACAAAGAATCAGACGATTCATCGAAAAAGTACCAGGATTAAGGAGACCAAGAAAGCAAGATTGTTGGACTTCCATTTTTCTTTTGAAAGACCCTGCCTTAGATCATATCACCAAATCTAGATATTTCATATGTCAACCTTAGATCACTGGAAGGCTTACAACAAAAGATGGATCTTAGGAATAGAATCGAAGACTGGCTGGCCCACTTGTACGTAATAGAAGAGAAGTAAAGGCAAATTCCCCTTCAGGGAGTTCCCATGGGGGCTAGTACACATTCCCTGACGAACGACTGCAATACATGGAAGGTTGACGGATGTAGTACTGGACGGCTTTCCCTACGACATTTCATACAAAGAGAATGGGCAGCCTGGAAAACTTGGAATGCTTACCGACTTCGATTCGGTCTATTCTAAGCGGTCCATTGGGTAAGCAGCGGAGGTCAGAGGTCTATACCCATTGCCGTATCGGTTAGCGGTGGAAGTCGTATGGGCCAACTTTCCCTTTTCCTCCGGGTCAATGACACTCCCTCCCGATGCTTTGCCAGAAGCTCGTTTTCTAACCAAAAAATGGAATATTTTTCAGACCCGGAATAAACTCGTGATAGAAGCCTTCTTTCTCTAGTAGGAAATCAAACACATCTGGAAGGCTCGCGTATTCCTATTCTTGTTATGGGAGACTGTCCATACCCTATCTCGACTCCGTTCACAAGACCTTTAGGGAAAGGGAAGGATTCCCATATGGAGCTTTCATTACTGGGCATGCAGCAGGAGATGAAAGAGTTGCCCTTCTTTCAAAAGGCATGATACCAGTCTTTGTCTATTCTTCCGATCTTTCTTAGGCCAAGGAAGGAAAGCACAGTAGAACTAGCGTAGCGGGACGACATGACAGCGGTTGGGAAAAGCTATCTGACATCAATCCAATGAACAGACAAAGCGGCTTGGCCGAAGGGTCAGGAAGAGAGAACGACTATACTTGACTTTCTTTCTGAGTTAGAACCTTACACCCATATGAAAGAAAGCAGCCAAAACAGTAGAGAAGATCTGAGACGGGTTTATCGAGAAAAGTCTTTAGCTCACACCTATCTTTGATGATAGAAGCCAAAAAGCAGGTTTAGGTAGAAAGAACAGCCAGTGTCAGAGAGATGACTTCTGTTGAACTCATGCTTGCCTATCCTCGGGACAGGTCCATTCTCAAGAAAATTCCGTCCTCTCTCTTTCTTACTAGGCGACAAAGCGGAATCCCCTATGTAGAATAAATCGTTTGACCTTTATTGCACTTGAGGAAGACCCGACCTCCTAATACCAAGCTTAAATGCTTGCCTGAGTGCGCCTATTACCCTTATCACTCGTAGTTCCCCAATCGTCTTTGGACAACCTGCCTTTTGAGGAAGATATCGTAATATCAAGATCTAAGATCTTACCACTTTCCCTTTTTGCTGGGCTTGTTGTCTTGTACTTTGAAAGGGAAATGATTTAGCCCAAGGCTCAAAGCGATTGAGTGCTTGACTAAGTGAGTAGTCGGATTCAATAAAGGCTGATGTGCCTCAGTGATGGCTTTCCAAAGGAAATGGAAATGCAGACTCCCCGGGGTGGGACTGGGGACATGCACTGACACTCACTAACTATCTATTTTCCTTTTGTCCAAGGAAAGCGGGACAATAGACCTAACCGGGTATGAAATCCTCCCTTCTACGTTCCATGGATCCTTTGTTACCTTATTCCCTTAAACACGGAATTGCTCCTAGTCTTGACCCAATATATGTCCCTGCAATAAGACAATTTTCTTATTGCTTAAGCACGAGATTCGACAGTTGTGATTCTCTTGGATTGAGCTTTCTCACTCTTTCTATGCCTCTTCCTTGGAGGACCTTCCCACAACACACACGCGACGCTAAGGTTCCCGTGGCAACTCAAGCTAGGATTTGAAGGCAGGATGAGCGGATTTACTGTGCTCGGTTCTTTCCTACTGATGCGCAGTAAGATACATCATTTTAGGGTGTAATAGTATTACAAACCTTCATTCTCACGTTTTCCTCTATCACTAGATCTTCCCTCGTGGGGATGAGATATAGTAGCCCTTAAGCTGTTGAGCTAAAGTTTCAGTGAAATCCTTGTTGGTGCAGGTCTGGGATCAGTAGTTGCTTCCTGAGCGACGAGAGCCTTCTACCTCTGCCTTGGCCGATAGTAGAACTCTTAGGTGAAAGGTCAATTCCTAAAAGAAGTAGTTTCTCCGTCTACAATATATATATATATATATATATGAATGTTCTTTAACGTAATTAAATTTATTTAACCTTATACAATTTATTAGTTTTTTATGTATTTAAATAAATTATTATTTAATTATTCTTAAAACATTAAAATTGATAAACATTATTTCACTTAAATCTTTTTTTTAAAATTTTAGTTAATTCATTTATAAATATTATTTAAAATAATCATAAAAATATATTTTTATTAAGAAAATATATAAACAACTTAAATATAATTTTTTCATTAAAATAAATAAATTTTATGATTTTGTTTTAATAAAATAAAATAGTTATATTAAATTAAAATATTATTTTATGAATTTAAATTAATATAATAAATATATTATAATTTTAAAAACTCCCGTGGTTTGCAATGACAAACTCTCTTTGAAGACAGATTTTATCTTCTCATTCGGTATTCGCACATGAAAAACTTTTTTATATAGTAGTTTCTAGAGTGAAAACAAAGAAAAAATATTTGAAAATACTAATTTTAGATGAAGATGAAAATATAATTACCAAAAATACAAATGTAGTTTATAAAGAAATATTTTAAAAACCTTTAATTAGAGACATGCAAATTAATCTTATGTTATTCTGATTATTTATTAAGTATTGTATTCTTTTATTTTTTTTAATCCCATTATAAATACAATAAAGTTTATCTGTTCTATATATACAGATAAAAATGGACTTTTGCACCATGAATTTGAGAAAGCAATTGTGTATAAATATTCATATTAGATACATGCATAGATGTTCGAAAAAATTAATCTTCACATTCGACAAAACAATGATTATTACCATTAGTGTTGTGAAGATTTTGGATATTTATCTAAGATTAATACATTGTAAATCTTGTATTTTAAAATCTTTAATTTTTGTGATATTGATGAGATGCATATCGCTAGCCTAACCTTTTTGTAAGATATTAATTTACTCCTAATTGTTTAAAAAGCAAAATATATTTATTTCAAAATTGTACGGATCAAAATACTGGTATCATTACAAACAATATTATTACTTTTAACCTCTTCTACCTAAAAAAGATAGTGTTTTTTCCGTCTCATGACCAACATTAAGAAATTCTTTTTAATAATACGACTTTATTTATTAGTGAAAAAAAATAATGTTTAACCTGTAGCTACAATTAGAAAATTTAATCATATTTTAACTTTACTTAGCTCGTAATTCCTATTTTTACTCTTTAGTATCATATAAAATGAAGTCACCCTTAAATAGTATTATCGATTATTAAGAAAACATATTTAAAATATACAAATACGAAATATATATATATATATATATATATATATATATATATATAATTTATTTATTGATCTCATATTTTAAAAATGTTTAAAAAGAAGTAAAGCTTCGCATTTTATTTGAAAATATGAATTTTGAAACTGTAACTTTCATTATTATTATTATGATCATTATTATTTAGAATTGTATGCCAAGTTGTGTTTTTTAATTGCATATTCGAGTTAGCTAAATTAGAAATTAATCTAAATTTACAATTGATCTGAAAATTTTTCACACCCAGCATAAATCAAATACAATTCAAATAGGAAAACAATCGTATTTACACTAGTCTGTAACTAATTTTAAATTAAATTTATCAACATTTGTATATTTTTTAAATAATTAATTAGAAAGCCCGAGAAGCATATATAACTGAACATAATTAAAATAAACAAAAAAAATCGAGAGAGCGCATTTGAAAAGGAAAAATGGCGGGCACCGTGGCAGTGATTGAGCAATCGGTGAAGAAGGTGAGAGACGAGTGGGAGATATGCTTCGCTCGCTTCATCCCCTATCCCTCTCTCCCTTCCTCTTCCGATCTCATTCCTCTCCCTCCTCGCCTCCGCAACCTCCCTCCCCGCGGCACCTGGATCTCCTCCTCCTCCGTCGCCTTCCTCCGCCTCTCCTCTCACCTCTCCAACCTGCTCCTCACTATCTCCTTCAACGCCGCTCTCCTCGTCAGTTCCTCCACCCGAACCTTCTTATAACTCCATCACTTCAATGTTTAATAACCGTTTCTATTGATTTTTCTTCATAATAATAACCTTATTTGTTTCGTTCCTTTTTCGGACGACAACGCCTTCACTTTGAATGTGAACTCACTGTATTTGAATAATGTGGCAGGAAGAGCACTACGTCTCCAAGCTGCATTTTACGTGGCCTCAGGTGTCGTGCGTTTCTGGATACCCTGCCAGGGGCATCAGAACCGTCCTAGTTAGCTACAGAGATCCCCTAGGCGAGGCATGATTCTTTATATCTATCTCAAATTGATTTATAAGATTTTTCATCCAACACGACAACTACTAAAATTGCTCAATTCAAAATCAGCTTTCAATTCAGAATCAATTCTTCGATGTCAGAAACTTGCGAACATTTACCTAAAATCACATGAGACCCTGTTGCATTGTAAATGAAGCATGTTAGGAGTGAAGCTGCACACAGTAGCTTATAAGATTTTGTTAATTGGACGTGGATTTTAGTTAGAAACTCAAGTCGGCGAGGAAAAATTTAAGCGCACTATTAGTTCATATTTCGACGTGATTTTGGACAACTCAACATGTAAAATGCACTTAATTAAATTACACCTGTCGAAATAGAATGTTTTTTCTCTGGATTGCATAACAGGACACTTGCTAATTCCCTCTGTGACTTGTGTAAACTTTGGAGATATACGATAACTCTATGACGTCTCCTTCAATATTGTTGATTTATCATTTATGTAAGATCAGTAGCTGTCTCGTGGTGGTTGGGTTGGTAGGGTGTGAGTGAATGTGATACTATTATGTGGAGTTTTACCTGGCTAAATTGATTAATGGACAGTTAATGCAAGTTTTACACAGTTAATTTTCCTCTGTCAGATTCAAAAGTTTGCTATGCGGTTTCCATCAATCTATGAAGCAGAGTCATTTATCGGTGTTTTAAAGGTAATGGTTGCTTATCATAATTTATTATCGCTTTTCACCAAAATATCCGCAGTCTTGGGGCTGAACTTCTTCTAAGACCACGTTCTCCCTTGTCAATTCTTGATGACTGTGTCGCTTCGTAGGAGATTCTGAAAGGTGACAAGGATCCAGAACCTTTGAGTACCGACTTTGGTTCTGAAATTTCATCGCAGTCAGAGTTTATGTCAACAAACGAACACTCCTATAGTAGGTATAAAAGAGTTTGCGTGATTGGATAAATAGGAGGATGTACGGAGTTCTTAGGCCTTGATATGTTATATAACCTTTCACTGATCTGTTTTCTGTTCTGCCACATTTATCTAAATTAGATATCTGTTCTCATTACTTACATTGAGATATTAGTTGACTTAGTATGTTTAGAGGAAACTTCTCTATCAGTACTTTTAGGGGAGAAAATCAAAAGTTGAAGTGAAATTAACTTGTTCATAAATTAAATTAAGCTTATGCATCAGTTAAAAATCAAATTTTGAAGAAGCCAACAGAAAATAACTTTACAAATTTCACAAGTTTTGACTTTATTGCGAAACTAATTTACTTTTTTCTTTTTATATTTTTCTCTTAGAAGTAGTTATGGAGACGTTTCTTCAAACAAACCCTGAATTATGTTGGAGATTTTGAATGAATACTGAGACTTTGTCTTATTTATAGAGGTTGTGAAGAACTGAGCTTCATGACTCCGGCTGACAATTACATTCCACAATTGCCAATATTTGTGAATAATGAGGTGGGGCAACCTTCAGGAGCCGAAGTAAAGGGAACCACACCCAGTCACAACTTTGAAGGCGTGCTCCCAGCCTTGCCACCCAGTTTTACCTCACTACTAATGGATTGCTCTCAGAACAACCTGGGTTTGTGAGCCTTTTTGTTTTGACCTAATATTTGTTTTTATTTCTATCACAACCTATTTCATTTGAATAAAACCATACGTTGCAGCTCAACCAACCGTTTCGGAGGAAATTGAGCTCAAATCCCAAATTGTGGTACATATTTTTGAATTTTGGCAAAGATATTCATTCTTTAATTAGCACAGTCACATTGTGATGCTCATTATAGTTTATGTTTTCTCCAAGATGCAAATATTTTGAGAGTGCAACTTCTCTACCACTGAAATGATGTTTTTTTTTTATCTCTTTAATGTAGAGGTATATGGAAGATTCTTCCTTCCAAGGTAGGAATCCTTTTTTCTTATTGCATATTAGTCTCTTAAGTTGGATAACCATGATGTGCTGTTTTATTTATTTTGTTCATTGTTTTCCTTTCTCCATTCCCCGGGCAGAATCCGAATGGAAAATTGTGAAAGTTTTTATTTTTGTTTGGTTTGAACATTGATCGTTTGATGCACCTCGTATCATCGGATGCTTTAGTTATGCTATTTAAGCTCAGGTATTTATTAGTACTAGAGGTGATGCACGGTCTTCCAAATTGTGTCCAAGAGATTCCTGACCCATTTTCTTGTCATTAGATATGTTGATTAAGGTGGAGAAAGTTATCAGCGAATTGGGGGGTGATATGTCCCTTTAGTTTACCAGCCCAGGGAATTGAAAATGACTAACGAGCAGCGTAGCATCTCTCCATGCTTACTGCACCTGAACCATGAAGACCTCTCCACACATTGCCCAACAAATGTACAGCGGACTTCTTTCTTTACAGTTAGGCCAAATTTTGTCTTGGTATCTTTTGTTGTTCAACAAACAGCAAGGTCAGATGAAAGGTAAGGCATGATAAATCAGTGTTTAGCTAGTGAAACCGTATCAAGTGGTTTCTGTTTAAGAAACCTTAGTTAAAATAATGATCTCAGAGTAATTGTAATCTGGTATAGTACAAATATATTAACAATATGCTTCTCTCCATTATGGCACCATATGATATTGAATCTGGCAAAATCCAGTCATTACACCCCTGTTTTGAATTATGGGCCAAATTCATTTAGAAATTCACCAGTACAAAATTTTCAAGTTATTCTCAGCTTACTGTCACTCTAACCATGTGTTTGGTTGCTCGTTCCATTGTTTAAAAGTTAAAACGTAGAACCAACCATGCACCAAGTGGTTGAGTTGAATATTTATTTCAGAACAAAAGGAAAGGGCTACCTAAACATCAGCTGCTACAGATTTTGCTAGGATTAAGAGAGTGAAGAGACAGGAAACTAATCATGTGGAAAGTCAAACACCGAGTAAACAGCTAATTTTTTTAACAGGTAACAAAAGAAGGTATTGATCATCAAGTCAGTTAGTCCACGTAGTAAAATTTAGATCCAAAAGCTCTGGTAGTGTTTGTTACTTTATCATTAGAATCAAACTGAGTTCAATAAGCAATTTTTTATTATGCGAGTTACTGAACTAAGATTTTAATTTTGATTGGAAAATAGTATAAATACTGTCTAAAGTATGTTACTTAAGTTCTTTTTCATAGAAAGGTCATGTATAGACACTTAAGCCCAATTGATAACATGAAAGAAAAAGAATCCAGATATAACAGGTGATACGAGGAAAAATATTAAGTTTTATTTAGGTGTGTGATATATACAAGAGTGTTTATTATGTATCGCCACTAACACAACAATAATAAAGTTACATGAAAAACAGAGTTTGTGAATAAATATATTATTTTAATATATATTATGTACTTGAATGGTTTTAATAATTTTCTTTATTTTCATTCTTTTCTGCTGTTCTTTTTCCCCTATTTTCTCATTTTTATTCTCCAATCCAAATAAAACCTTAAATTAGCTCTCAAATTCTTTTTCATTGTAATTTTTTAAATAAATTATTTGAAATCTCAATCACCACAATTTCAGGATAAATATATCAGCATGCTTTGGCAGAGATGCAGTCATGGAAAAAAACTGTAAATTAGAGAACGAAAGAAAACAAAGAGGCGTGAAATTTTTAGGAAATAAGAAAGCTATAGAAACGAGGTACACATCTCGATTTTCATTGCTAATTCTCATGTATAATATTTTAAAAAAAAAAATACTTAAATGACTTTAGCTCTTTCTTAAGGCGATTTGTTCAATGCAATGATATATAGCCTATTCATGGTGTGTCATTTAAAGTTTCCCAGTAATAGAACAGATTCAACGATACAAAACAAAAGATAACAGTTAATAAGTTGCAGCAATATCTTTCCGCATAGTATGCCTCTTACGTAGCATGGATTGGCTTTTTCCTTGCGTTGGTCTTTTCAGAGATGATTGTGGGAGATTTTTGGTTTGTTGGCTTTGTCTGTAACTCGGCCTTCCGCTCGTAGTCAACAGTTACTATGCCACATTATATATATATATATATATATAATATATATATATATCTATATATCTATATAT